GACTTCTCGAATACTACCTTCTGCGTTCTGCTTACAGCATTATCATTCACTTCACTCCCCCCGTGTCGCTTATCCGATCAGTAAATACAAACCGAAACCAACGAAACCGAGATTAACGCTAGAACTACCGTATCAGCCGAAACGATTCGGCTCCTTTCTTCCTCGATTATTGTCTCCGAAGCATCGAATATTCGAAATGATTCCTTAACAGTAGAACTACCGTTTATTTAATACGATTAATATATAATCCCCATTATTTTCAGTTTCTTCAGACATTCATTACAGTAGTCAAGTGAAACTATTGATTTCCAAGATAATTTTGAATATTCAATGCCTTTAAGATATCAATAATTGCGGAAGAAAAAGATCAAAACCAGTCATTTCGACTGGTAATTCTAGTGTTGAACAAATAATTTCAATCAATATCACAACGTATGTCCAAAGAAACCGAAAACAACCCACTGCTACAATTCTCGCAACGCGAAAACTTTGGGTGGCACGGCGGTAGGCGCGTTTAATAACGGAAAGGGTTGAAGTAAGAGGGAAAAAAGGCGGAAGCGGAGGCAAGAGGAGGGCACCGACACGCGGCGCGGTCGCCCCCTTGCTCTGGGAGCGTTTCCATCGATCACAATGCGAAAGAACCACCGGCGACAGGGGACTGCCCCTGTTCCGCGGACACCGGTTAATATTTTCCACTTCCTTCCGGACTCCGGACCCCCTCCGGCTAAAGCCGATCATCGTAACTCGTTTAACCGACGCCAAGCTACGTGCACGTAAACAGTCGGGGGAGAAGACAGAGGGGAGCCATCCGCCGCGGCCGAGGAACGCTCCTCGAGCGTTACGCGCCCGTTCACGCGGCCGCGGACGAGCAATTAGCTCCTCCGCCCTGGACATCGGGAGCTGCGTCTCTATTCCGCTTCCTCTCTCGTTCCGCGCGTCGCCGCGTTCGCTCCTTTTCTTGCTCCCGAAGCTTCGGGAGTCGCGGACCGAGACGAACCTGCGGAATGCGACTGGGAATGCAAGCGTTGCGATTCTTTTCCGCGTTCCTGTAGCTTCTTCCAGCTCTCGCATATTTAGAGGGCACCGGCGTTTTATGAGTTTCAGTGAAGTTTGATTTACGAGCGCTCGATGATTTATTGATCGGGTCGCTGCGTGAATATTAGTAAAACGGTTCCGACAAACGTTCCGGCGAAAAGACGTTTGCTCGTTTACCGAATAGAGAAACTCGATGAAAATGTACTTTTGTCTTTTCTATGACGTTCTAGGGAGAACTGTTCTGCAATCTTTCGCTAGCCGATCAAAAGCGATCAGTTTGCTACAGATTCCTCGAACACGTGTCCCTCTATTTATAAATCTCTCGAGTTTTCTTTATCGGTGTCTGTTAAAATTCCGTCGTCGCGATTACCGAGGCTTCCATCGTGACACGAAATGAAAGGCGCCTCGGCACCGCGAGACGAAAGCTCCGACGCCGTAGGACGCGGTCGAGTGGGCGTTCGAGAGATCCTCTCGCGCGGCTCGAGACAACGATCGGCCCCCGAACGGTTCGCGAAAACCTGTTACGTCCGCGGTTTTCCTCCACCTGCCGGCCAGTGTTCTTTCGCAGGCCGTGCTTCAAAGCCCGATCGTGACAAAAGACACGGCTGTGCCCTACATAAACCCGGTCACGTAACGTCGGCTGCGAGGCGGCGGCTCCTTCTCGCCGGCCGTTTCTTCGGCCCCCGTTGTTTTCAGCTGCCTGCCCGCGCGAAACAACGCCCGCCGACGGTGCATCGCGAGAGAAAAAAGAGAAACTGGGGTAAAAGCAACGCCGCCTACCCCCCGGGGCTCGTTACTCGCGGTTCATTATGCACGGGGCTAATCTCTTTTGGACCTCGAGCTCCTTTCGGCGGACTTTGAAAACGTTGCACTTGTACCTATCGGCTCGCCTTTATTCTTCTCTGCCGGCTCGTGTGTCGTTCCTTTATCGCTAGCGTTGCGCGTTGATTCTAATTCGTGCATTCTCTTCGTAGAATCGTGTATCGCTCGGTCTTTTAACCCTTTGAACTCTGTAGGCTCCAATATTGCAGGAATAATATTAAATATTTTAATGAATCTTAAAGAAACTACCCTAAAATTATTCGATTTTGAAAATGAAAATCCCTGGTCTAGTGATCAACTGGAATCTTATCAATCTATTCTATAACTTATTCTCTCTATATTCGTATGAACGTTTATCATTCAAATTTTCTCGGTTACATCTACTCCCTTTTCTAAACGTTCCCATGAAACGACGATCATTCTATTCGCCGGAGACGTCGAATCAAACCTACGACCATCTACATGACATAAATAAAAAAGATTTATATAAGATTCGTCGCCAGTTACGAGCGGTTACGTCGAACGGAAAACCGCGCGGAACTTCCGATTCGTCGTAACAACCCGTCGTAACGGGTTCGGCCCGCTTAATAGGCGGGAATTTAGGTTTCCATCGGTAACATCTGAAGAGTCGATCAAACGTCGGTTACGTTACAACATTTAATTCTGATGAAACTGCCGATTGCGCCGCGCTCGTTCATTGTACTTTCGCCCGCTTTCACTCTCCTCTATCTGTGTTTCAGCCAGCACGCGCGACAGAGTCGTGTGCAGCTTTTTCCCCCCTCGTCCCCCCCCGTTTTTGCCGGGCTTCCGGCGGGTAACGTCGCTCGTTAGCGGTATCGTAAACATTAATCGAACGTCCGATACTTATGTAAACGACTCCATCGCGGCGCGGACGGATATAAAGAATCTGCGGTCGCTCGGATTTTATGGATCTATTAGATACGGGGAAAAGCTGCAAATCAGAACGAACGATACTCGAGCGTAATTTCACGACAACGGATTAATTGTTCCAACCGTGGAACCTGGTTCTCGGATATTTCGATCGTTTCGCAATACCAGGAACAGATTCGTTCTCTTATCGCCGTGGAAGCCAACGAAACTATACGGATGTGTACGAGTTTTTATCATTTTCGAAAGTATCATGGTTTTTATAACACTTCCTGTAGTGTAACGACAATCAGTAATGATCATGTTTGGAGAGTTGCATTTAACCCTTTGCTCGAGGGGTGACTCAGTCACCACTTGACTTGATTTGCAAAATTATAAAGTCTTACAATATTAAACTTTGCAAGATGCATCAACATATGGGATATTGAGATAAAATAATTTTCCTTCTTAATTCATGTATGTTTTCGCATTAATTTTATATAAATAAAATAATATTATTAAAAACTTTGGAGTGCAAAGAGTTAATCTCGCACGATCGTACACTTTGAAAAATAGATCATCGTTCCTAGAGACACCGAGAAATAAATCTGCACTCGCGTGACGTGCAAGTCTTGACAAACCGAGCTCCATGGTTTAATAATGCAATAATGTAAATGAAGGTAGTTTCGCCTTGTTTCTTTTCACTGTCGTTCCAACGAAAATCGCAGGATGATCATTCGCTTCGAGCTGCCAGCACGCGAGTACAATTTTTCCTCGCTATCGACCGTTGATATCGAGGGCGGAAGTTGCCGCGATAACTGGGCCATGTGTATATATCGTGGACCAAAGGAAAAAATATTCAAATCGCTCCGAAACTTGTCTGTTCTGGCATCCTCCGCTGGATATTTTTTCCTCTCTTTTCCAGTGAATTAAAACCACGGAAACGTACAAAGAGAAACGCGCGACGGTTTTAAATATTCGTCGCTCTCTCGTCGTGATTAACATTCGTTCTGCACTTATTCTAATTCAAATCAGAAATCGAATAAAGCATAAACATCTGTTACCGTCAATCAAAGTCACAAGTGATTATTTATTATGCCACTGTCGTGATTAACGTCGCATTCGTCTGACATTCAGTTTCTTAGGAAAAAGCGAGCATCAGCGAATTCGAAACCGCAAGAACGCGAAAAGAGAAACGCGCGGCGTACATTTTAATTATTTATTATTCCGCGTTCGTCGTTGACATTGCATTCGTTGGCACGGCACGACGCGACGCGATGCAGCGGCCGGTCGCCGATATCTGCACGACCGCGGTGGTATCGCGGTGAAATCATCGATGACGAGTCACGAGGGAAACGGTATAATGCGTCTGGGATCGGACTTTCGATTCTTCCTTCGGGGCACAGAAACCGCTCCGCCATTCATTTTGCCTTCGCGAATGGGCCGGCGGTTGCTTCTATTCGGCCGTGTAACGACTCGATGACACTCCGCGTCGGTTCACTCGAATTCATTAGTTCACATCCGTACGTACGTATCCTCTAACGCTTTTTATCGAATCATCGTGCGCGACCGCTCGATCGAGTCGTTTGCGTTTGTCTCTTCGGTCTCGTTTATTCGTAACTTACGAATAAACACTTACGTCATTCATTTGAGATTACACATTCCGTAGAATATTAGGTTGATCGAGAACTGTCGTAGCATTTCGAACGGAGTTCCAAAGAAAAGTTTCACTTTAAATCGAACTTCGTTCAGTTGAACTGTGCACTGCAGATTTCCATGTGGGCGTTCAATGTGTTAACCCTTTGCACTCGGATGTTTCTTACTAGAAATATTTACCATTTCTTTACAAGGCGAAGACGATGCTCTTCGAGACTAATTCGAAGAGAAATCACCAGTGCATTGTGGAACAAAGCTGTTTTATTCCAATGTTTCACGTATCGAGGCATTATTATTATACACAGTTCAGTATTAAATATCAAATTTTATAGTTCTACTGTGTCAAATCAAGCGGTGACTGAGAGTCACCTCTCGAGTGCAAAGGGTTAATATTACCGACTGACGAAACGCATTGACTCACTGCGATTCATGACACCAGAGAAGTTCCATGGAATTCTCGAATGAGTCGTCCCCGCGAAGCATCGTTTTATCGACGATCGACGGATCGTCGGCAAATCGGCGCGTAACTGGCTCGAAACCAGACGCCGGAGGAATTGGGAATTTTCAGGCATCGATGACTGCCGCGTAGCCTCCGTTAATCAAGCGTGTACGTGTTTCAGGTGATCGCTAACGGTCAGAAGAGCGACACGGGCAGCTGCGACGGTTTAACGAACGGTGAGTCACGCATCGATGTATCTCTCTTCCTCTCTCTGTCCCGTGTTCTCCGCGATTCTTTTTTATTCTCATCGCGGCCCGCGATGATCCTCCGCTAAAGAGCCCTAACCGGCGATAAAAGGCGGCGCATTAGATGACGGCCAGTCGGTGCGCTTTGCTTTCATTGACCGAATCTCCCGCGGCCGATTGAAAAGGACGCCGCCTGCGCGTTATTGTCGCGCGCCACCCCACGATGCACCCTGAATGCCAATCGCGCTGCACCAGTGGGACACCTTGCCGCGTGAATTCGTTTCATTCGGTTAGTGGGATCGCAAACACTCTCGCGGTTCGCGAAACTCGACACCGGATTCGCGGATGTATTCGATGTTTCCGACGTTATTTCGTAACGATTTCACTCGACTTTCATCGGTGCAATTTCGCGAATACGCAGAATTCTTCTTGAAACGCTAATTTCCGCGATCCGTATCGACGAACGTGTATTCTTCTAGGAACGATAGAATGAAACACAGAATAAATCTCTGGCGTTAACGGTTATAAATTCTCGATAACTTCCGATTGTTTCGGATAACAGGGAATCGGCGAGGAGATTAGGGAAACCGGGATTTCCTGGTGGTTCCCGTTAAATCCGGCAAATCGTTACGGCCCTGGCTCTGCCCTTCGGTCATTATCATCTGTCGGAGCGGTCGCCGCATTTTCTCACGCTACTTCAGCTGCCGCTTGGTTCGCGGAGTGCAATGATCTCCCTCTCCCGTGGCCGCACATCTGCCTCAAAATTACATCCTGACCGGGTCCGCGTACATTTTTATTTTCACCCCGCTCCTCGTCCCATTCTTCCCCCTCCGCCCGCGGGAGATTCCCCGTCCACCGTTGGGAGACCGCTTGATAGCTGGCCCGAGGAATGTAGGTCCGATCGGTCCGTCCTCGTTTACCACGCTAATCTCCTATCCGTCGGGAATCCGTCGGGAATTCGTGAGCAAAATGCACTGCTAGATCGTCTTCGCAAAATCAAAATAATTCCTAACGCCGTGCGTTACGATTTTCGCTGACACGAGAGCGATTGAACATCCTTCCCATAGAGTTTTTCTGTCGTAGCAAAGAAAAGCAGAAACAATGATTAATTACTTGACGTTACAATCCTTGCAGTGCTCTATCAACAACTTTGTTAGGTTATTAAATGTCTTCATTCGACATCGGTTGTCTCGTACGTTACGATTGTTTTCTAGTCATTCGGAAGCGTCAGTCACCGGTGACTGACATGGCGCTTAACGCGTTAAACGCAGCGACATTCTCATTGAAACGGGAAGAGCCGTTGGCGGTCGAGGAAGAACATCTAATGAAACGCGAGACGAAACGTCAGCTGAAATCGGACGGACATGGAATTTCGAGGGAAAGGATCGCGCGCGATGAATCGATCGGCCCAGTTCTTCCCCGTTCCTCGTTTGATATTCCCATCCCCCGACGCCGTCGAGGCGCACTCGAGAGACAGATCAACCCTTTATGTCCTGGAGCTACTTCAACCCCTCGCTTTACGATTTCCATCGCGAGCCACCCTCGCCGCGGCGGTGTTATCCTTAACGCGTCGATTGCTACTTCAGTATAGTGTCTTCTTGTGCGAGTGACACCGTTTCTTCTCTTCATTCGAGTCCCCGACAGTCATCGTTGCGACAACTATGATGATGCCTGGAATAAGAGCAATCGTGTACTAAGTACTAACAATACTAAGCTCGTGTAATATTTTGCTATCGACAATTCGTAAGAAACACAGCAAAATTGTCCATTCTGCAACAACATTGATTCTTGTTAAATTAGTTTGGAAATCTTCATCGCGAGCCTCATTCGTCATTGTACGGCAAGGGGTTAATGTCGATCCTAATGGAATAATTACTGTCGACGCTAACGGGGTAACGACCAATCGCAAGATTCGCTATTTGATTCGATTGTTCTGCTCGTCGATTATCGGAGCCGTGTATCCGATTGTCTAAAAGAGAAAATTCAAGAGTTAAAGCGGGGATGAAACCGCAGCGAGGTTTCTAAAAAGTATCGATCTCCAATTAAAAAATCGTAGCTCCGTCCATCGAGTATAATACGCCTAACGAGCCGGTCTCGTAGTCACGCGACACTAGCCGTTAAGAAAAGAAAAACGGGAATGGAGAATGATCAGAGAAACTGGGTCGATATTAGTGTATCGGACGAGTAACCCCGATTACTTTCGCCGCGAGTCGCTCTCGTACATCTTTCGATCTTAATTGGCCGTTGGCTCGATCCCATCGGTATGTCCATTCGATACGCGCGCTTCTAATGGAAACCGAAAGCGTTCGATCATCCCTTAATCCACCGATCCTCTGGTCGTTCTCCATCGAAATCGCGGCAGATCATCGAAAATCATTGGAAATCGGGGACGCGCCTTTTTGGAACAGTGTTTCCCAGCTGTTCTTTACGCTCCTGGTAAATCTGTCTCTAAAGAAACTTCAAAGAGCAACCAAGAGCAGTTCGGACCGCAAAGGGTTAAGTTGGGAATAGAAAATCCATTCCACGATCGATCGGGCTCCAAGATTGTTTAGCTGTTTACTTTCGTTTCGTGACTCTCGCCGGACACGTACGAACGCTCGTGCCTGTTTCTCCGCGGTGTCGCTCGTGGCTAATTCCGCGGATCCGCGAAAGATCCCCTCGTTACGGGACGCAGCCAGCGTTTTCGTCGCGCATCGCCGGCTCGCACGCCCGTGAAATTCACTTTTCGCTCGTAAAAATTTAGCCACGCGGATACGATCCATTTCCCTTTTCTCGCGAAACTTTCGCCCCCGTTCTCTCCTCTCCCCTGCCGGTTCTTAACGAACAACTGGCTATCGACGACGACCGCGCGGACGCGACAGCTCGTTAACTCCTCGATTTATCGTTCCCGTTGCGTATTAAAATCATAATATCTGTTTTCATCGTCAGTTCGTATCTATCGAAGTAATCGTTCGATTAATTGGTCAGTCTTTAGAATTCGATTTTTGATCGACCGATATTCTTAACCAGTTAACTGTGGAATTTAGTTGGAAAAACCTCTCGTTCTGCGCGCGATAAAATAAAAATATGGAGCGTGTACTCGTCGAACGCAGTTAACTGGTTAATGCGAGCTCGAGAAGATACAGGGCGCAAGGGGTTGAAACGCCAGACGACGTCAGAATCGAGACGACGTTGCTCTCGGAAGATTTCGGCGATGACCCAGGTGGAATGCTCCAGATGTTCGAGATTCTTGGGATCGTACGGCCGGATTAAAAAGCCTGGAATGCCCCGAAGCGAATCGAATAGACGGTGGAGCACGCGACGACTCGCTGAGAGGAAACGATCCGTGCCAAGCTTCGAACCTTGACCCAGAGTTTAGAGGGTAGTTGTCGCTAGAACTCGGATTATCGAGTTTCTGGGCTGCAGCAGCCGACTCGCGTGACGCGGAACGTTTTGCAGTCTCTCGTTAACAGTTCCACTTGGGAATGGGAAACACGCGAAGCGGGTAATCACGCTGCTCGATGTTTCTAACAGTCCCTAATCGTTTCTCCGCGTGAAACCGTTGCGCTTCGAATCGCGTCTTTCGCGTCTTTCGACCAACTGGATATCCAGATCTGATCGAACTAAGACAATCGACGAACGCGACGAACAACCGCGTTAACTCGTTCCATAAATATTTCCAAGGAGATTCAGATCCGTTCTCGATTTTAATTGATTCTAATTTTATCCAGTCGAATCCATAGATGGCTTCATTGTCGATTCTATTTCTAACGCTGTGTTATTGTCGGGCCTCGGCTGTGGCACGCAACGAAACGGTGACTCACTTTCGCGACCTCTTTTCTCGGCGTCGGCGATTCTTCTACGTGTCGATAGGTCACGCGAGGGAGATCCTCCGGGCCGCCACCCACGCGACCAGCGAACAGGGGAAGAGAAGAAGGCGCGCGCTAATTGCGCAACTCCGCGTCACCGCGACGTCGTTTTTTCTCTTAGCCAGTCTCGCGGGAGACGTCGCGGAGCGCCGCGGAGCGCCGCGGTTTCCGTCGACGCTCCTCTGACCTTTCAGGTCCAAGTTCGCCGGGGCCGATTGAAAAATCTCCAGAGTGCACGAACCGTTAACTCTCTGTCGGGACTAATTGATTATCTTCTAATGGGAAGCTTGTACTCGGAGCTGTCGCTTTAAAATTCAATTTGTCGACAGTAAATTTAACGCCTCCGCGATTGAACTCTTTGGGGCGAGATTTTCGAGAGGAAAACAACCCTGCACGAAAGATCGCAACAGTCTCGACTTTTCACTTGTTCACACTGATTAACGCGTTTATCGTTAGTTCGGAGCATCGCCGACTGGAAGAGAAACTTTAAGTGAAACGTTCGACTACTAATCATTCGACCATGAGTAACTTTAACTTTTCGAGGGTTGACATATGACTTTCAAATATTCTTGAATAAATAAATAGAGCGTCGCATTGAGCTGTCATTGAATGAACTAACGTCGACGTGAACCTCAGAGTGAGAAATCAAGAGCACTTCGGACCGCAAAGAGTTAAATTAGTCTAGAAATCTTCATCGCGAGTCTCGCTCGTCATTTGACGATAGTTTTTCGGTCTTGACTAAACAGAAAGAGAGAAAGAGAGAGAAAGCCGCAGTTTGGCCAAGTACGTTCTAGAGGATGAACCAATGAAATAACCGCATTGTTTTCATCACCTTGAGAATAGGAAGGCGCATAGGGTCTCCCGGTTCTCCAGGTACCGGCGTACTCTATCCGATTAGCGGGTACGCGAAGCCCCGCGCAAAACTATATAGGAGTCGGCTGTTTGATACGGGCCGGCCGGAAATGCTTCAGTGCGAATCGCCGCGATGTGCGAGGAGGGTTCCGTCAGGGCGAGGATCGCCACGTTCGAGGGTGAATAAAAAACGCGATGCGAGTGAAGAAGCGAGTGTGAAATTAATACTGGAACTGCGCGCCGCTCGAAATCGACGCGGTTTCGATTTCTTTGCCTCGCAATTATTAATACCTTGAAAGCATCGGACGTACGAAATGACGTTAGATTTTTCATAGGGATTGCACGTTAATCGCGCTAGGTACTCGGCAGTTCTAATGTTAATGAACACGTTAAGCCCGGCTGCGGTGAACTCTGATGAATTTCGCTTAACCATTATAGTTGTTTATTGTTATCTAGTTATTTACGAAATATCATTGAATAGTTTTATTTCGATACCTCGGATGGCTGGCCACCGATTGTAGTAAAATTTCGGTAGAATATAAATGTCCAGTTGGTTCCACCGAATTATTTCAATTCCGAGGAAATGCGAATTTGCTTACAATCTGGCGTGCACCCGAAGATCGTAGCGAAATGAAGTAACGCCTCTGACACGTCATCGTAGAGTTCAGCGCGTGAAACACGTGAAACACGTGGCGCGACCGTATGTCTGTTCCGAATGTAACAATGACGAGTGCGCCGTAAAATATGCGGAGTGCGTGAAACGTGTCTAGAAAATGTACTCCTGTCCCGTCCCCGTTCGATAGAATTATTGATGCGCGAGCGAAAGTGCTGGGGAATCGGCGGCGTCGCTAATGGCAGACTATATTTTTGCAGGGAGAAACATGGCACCGGTGTTGGGTGTACCGCCTCCGCCGCCACCTGCTCCGCACATGGGACCGGACGGCTTGATCTTGCCGAGAAAACCGTACAATCCCTACCTCACCTCCAATAACCATAAGGATCTTCGCAGAGAGCTGCTGTTCAATCAGAAAGTGTAGGTTTACGTGTGATATTACACTTGTTTGTCCATTCGAGACGGAAAGAAGATTGCTGGACAATTCCGAGAGAAATTTATCGGCTCCCATCGTTACGGACTTTTTTTAGTTTAACGCTGAAACTACCAAACGAGTCAAAATCGCCCGTTTCTGATTCGGCTTTCGATATTTCGGCTTCGCTTGCTACGCAGATGTTAGAATAAAACCAAAGAGAATGCAAAGGTGTATCTTTACTTTTCGGAAAGTTACGATAAATGTCTCGAAACCCGCACGTTTATGAAGGACCACGGAAAATCGCAGGGTACCAATAGAGTCGAAACAAGAGTAACAGAAGCGGAACGTCATCGGCTACGTAACGCGGCGTTCGAACCCGTTTTTAAGCAAATCGCGCGACGGAGTGTCTAACGGGAAACTCGCGCGACTCGCTTCGCACGCCTATCGCCGAGAAAATCGTTTCCTGCCGGCGGAGCACGAGTCGCTCCTCTCTCCGGTGACTCATTGCCATCAATTTTTACCGGTGAACCGCTCGCCGGCCGATCGTTCGCGCCTGTTTTTCCCTTCCCCGCGAATTTTCACGACCGGCGAGATTACCTGACCGCATCGGTTTTCACTTTCTTCCAGGGGCCGGAACGTGCTGAATCAGAAGAGCGAGCTGCAACGAGCGCTCGAGAAGCAGAGGGAGGCTGCCTCGAGGAGAGAAGCCGAGAGGAACCGGGAGGAGAATTACAAGGACGATCCCAGAACCGCGCTGCAGAGGGCCATCGAGCAGAGGGCGAAACACATCGAGATGGCGGTCAGTTTCATCGCCCTCCGAAGATTTCACCTGTCCTAACCCCTTATCGAGGACAATCTCTGACCAACTTGCAATTCAGTTCGCGCGTTACTAACCCTTTGCACTCGACAGGTCACTCTCACCACTTGATTTCATACAGTAAAACTATAAAATTTGATATTTAATATCATATATCATTTTGAGAAATATTCAAATAAAATAGCTTTGTTCCTCAATGTACGTGATTTCTCGTCGACTTAGTTTCACAAAGTATCGATTACATCTCGTCGGAAAATGTTGAAATATTTCTAGTCAAAACTTCCGAGTGCAAAGGGCTAAATTATGCGTCCGCTATCTTTCTAATGAGTCGCTGTGAAGCCAACGCGAGAACAAAGAAACGACAGAAATCAGGAAATATCGAAAAATCCACTGAATTGTAAAAGAATTCAGAGACATTAAAATGAGCGGACTTTTATCTGATAGCGAATTGTTAACGATAGAGCTTTAATCAGCTGTGATATAAATCGCGAAGCTGCAGGTTTCATGTCCCAAGTGTGTCCAGCTAAGGGGTTAGTCCAGTTTCCTAAACTCCAAAGTGCCTCGAGTATCTGAGGTACAAGACGTAGGGCCTTTCGGCGTAGTTTCGTTAACCGAATAATCGATTTGCAGCTGGAGCAGTCGCAGCAGACGATGGAGCCACCGAGCAACCTTCTGGCGACGGCGAGGGCGAAGCTGAGACCGCGCACAGACTCTCAGTGAATCGAGCGAGGAGAGACGAGAAGAAACGCAGAGACAAAAGGTCGATCGTGTAACGCGATAAGCGGGCACCGTTGCGGTCTGCGCCAGCGGCGTAGAGCGAGAGAGGACGCGATTGATCGGGGTTGCCTGCTGCGTGCCCGCGACGGGGGCGGGACGACTCTTTCGTCGCCTCGCGTCGCGTCGCGTCGCGTCGCGTTCCGTGTAACTCGACCGACATGTACATATACGTATGCGTAATCCGATAAGAATCGATTAAATAATAACAGAGGATTATACAACGCGGCCGCGTCGACGGAAGCGGGAACGTCGCCCCGGGAGAGAACGATCGTTTACCCGCGGCCGGTCGCGACGACTCATCCGTTCGGCGGCTCCGTTTAGACCGAATGCGCGCAGCGCAGTGGTTCGCGCGCGAACGCAGCCAAGATCGTTTCGAATTAGAGGGAAGCAAAGTTCTGTCTCACGGGGAAAGAGTAAGGCCCGATGCACACTGTAGCTTCGCTGAGCATTCTTGTCCGTTGTCGATGATCAAGGATAGAGATTGGACCGAGATCGGGTAGATTCTAAGCGATTGAAGAGTATTTAATAATAACCGAGATGATGGTGATCGAACGTCGACAGTGTGTATCGGGTCTAAGAGAACTTTCCCCGTTCTATCAAAACAGTCGCATGCGCGAGGTTTTCAAGCAGACCGCTCGTGTGTATTTGGCCTTAAGGCTGAGGTTACAGTGGATAAGAGTCTAGATAAACTGGCGTTGCGATGGACAAAGAATTCGTACACACGTTTGATTAATCTGGCGCGTTGGATTCGTCAGGACGCCAGTTCGTCGAAGAACGTGCGCACTGTAACCGCAGCCTGACCGCGCGCGTCGTCTCTTCTCTTCAACGTAGACAAATTGCCTTACTCTTCCAAAGTTGTCGGAGAACGCTTCGCCGCGGAACAGAATGACTGTCGAATCATCCTCCGAGCGGCGGCCGGATCGAGTGGATCGTCTTGCCTGTTAGGAGCGTACCGCTCCCGCGGGAACCACCTGTACACCGAAACGATTGTTACCGCGTACGCTGCACTGTCGATGGAACGAGTGTCGTAGCTTTCAGCGAGCGAGAAATTGGGTGTGGCGAACAAATAGGCTTGCGAGCGTCGCGAAGACGCGATTAAGGAGCGGCTGCTAATTTTCACGATGGCTAGGAGATTGAACGACGCTGTCCGATGTTCAGAATGGATCTCCGTCGTGGGATCGACCTCGGCGCCAGCATTTCAGGCGGTTTTGTCTTCGCACGATGCGAGCTGGCATCTGGCACTGCCGGAGCCGGCTTGTCCGGTTTCCGTCGGCTGCCTTACCCGCCGCTAATTAGCGGCTGCTTGCTTTGTACGCTTTGCAAAGGCGACGTTTCCTTCGGTAACATTGTCATCGCGTTGCGCAGCGTTAAATCTTTCGACGACAATCGAGGAGTACGTATATCGCTTAACGAATAGGTCGTGGGAAACGATTCGTCTGATATCGAACGTGGATAAAGTATATGGTGCGTTGTCAATGAAAAAGCTTTAAATTGTGTATCTCGCGGTGATCGAAAGAGAAGCTCGTAGCGTTTGTTCCATCGACAGCAGTCGGCACAGAGCTCGCGAACGCGTTGAATCCGAGAAATCGCGGTCGAGACGACATCCCTCGAGCAACATCCATCGCGCACCGCGTCCTCAAAGTTTCGACTGAACGATGGGGAAACGAGACGCTGAGATTTCCGACGAGCAGGCCTTACTAGATCGCCTTCACGGGAAAAAGCGGTCGGCCCGACCGGGGATCGTGCCGGTCGAGCCGATTCGATATTTTGTTATGTATTGGACTGTTTCAGGACGTTCTAGTGCAGAGACGAATTACCATTTTAGTGTCACCGACACTCGTAGCCGCTACCTAGCAGTCAAAGTGACTGGTTTCTAATTTCCTCTGACAAAATAACACAAAAGACCCACAACGCATCGACCAAGATATACGGGAATTCGTTTAATTGTTTCCTAACGAAAGCACCGTTGCGACACGTTTAGTATAACCGCGGAACGAGAAATCTGCAATTGGTCATTTTGACCCGTCTGGTAGTTGTAGGGTTAAAGGAACAAAACACTCGTGAATAGTATAGAGATTAAATTACATAAGTTAAGACAAATATCGCGAAAGTCTAAATGTCGAATGTTAGCTTATCGTCGTGCCTAAATTTGTACGGAAAATTAGACCTGAATGTAGAATACAGACGACTGTCGGACAGACAGAATAGTAGAATCAGAACATCCCCGGGACCATATGATTGTATAGCTGCATAGCAGAGGGCGAAAGGGTTTAGCCGTTTTGGATCATTCTACGATTACTCTTTGATCCTGGAGTTAAACGAATTCAATGGAGGAATTGAAATTCACAGATTTAGATGGCAATTTATAGACAAGGAACTCTAGTAAAGTTTAATGTTATAATAACACGTGTATAGCGTTAACATTTCCCTTAAGACCTTTATTTTACTGGGTTCACGAATGACGAATATCAAATGGTTTGATGATCGAACGGCCGGAACCTTTCGCCCCTGGCAGAAAAGTTAAAGGCGTTTGATACGCGACGTAGCAACATTTATTACACTACAGTGTTCATAGTTCAGAAAAGTAATAGATCATATATTGTTACGCAGATACTGTTTCGATCGACAGCGATCAAAGTACTCTAGAAACATGATCGTTGATTCGAGTCTAGTGATTCCTCTATTGATTACAACGCGTCAAAGTGTATTCAATCCTGTTACTTCTGGAGCGTAATAAAAGCACGTTTATTATCGTAACATTAAACTGTACGAACCAGGAACGTGGATACGAGCGTTTCACACACTTTGTGTAGTGTGCTCGACAGTCACTGATCATTTACTTTCATTTGTTTCTTACCTAACCTTATTAATATTTAAAATATCATTGTTGCTATCAATGGTAACAAAATTTACAGGGAGAAATATGCTACGCGAAGGGATCGTTATTACATTTGAAAAATTATAAATGACTTTAAAATCTCTGACCCCTTTGAAATCTCACTACAAACAACCGAGGTATTATTTTACGTTATAATCTTAGGTGATTCACCCTATGTGCACAGATGCGTGTAAAATTGCCCGTATAGTGAAGTGCATTCGAATATTTTACACAGCGTGAGAAATACTCGCGAGTTTCAAGCCTTAGACACAGAAATTCTGCCTAATGGCGTACGCGAACTAATCATGTTTAGGACTATTATCGCAACGGTATGATTGAAGTATCAAATATATTTTATTCAACATCGATAGTATCTTTTTTCATCTTCGCTTATCCATGGGGAATAAACAACAAGTTCAGAGAAGAGTGTTGAGACGTTGATGCTAATTCGTATTATAATGGTGAATAAATCAGGGTGAAGAGAAACAGGCGTGTTAATGGGAGCAACGATGCGTTGCAGAGAAGACCGTTAATTATACATAGGCAAAGGGAACCGAGAATGAAGTAACATTAGGTGATATAATTGAAGTTCGCGTTATTAATCATAAACATTTATCGTTAGTGATTTTACACAGACCAACTTGTACATTCCTAGACCGAAGGTGTGAGTATATGCAACGCGATTTCACAACAGATACTTTTTAATAGTCATCCCCGCGTGAGATGACTTCTTTACACGTTGGACGTAAGACCAAGGTGTGCTCAAATTGAGCAGTGTAACATCCCTTCACGTCAACTAACGGTGGGTAAGCGTCGACTGCACCTTTGTCGCACAGATCTTTCAACGCCATTTGGTACTTGGTACACCCAACCCGGTCCAGCCATCGTTTACAGAAAGCCAAAGTACCTACAATGGAAACACGTACAAAAATAAATAACATAAATGAATCTACTCTTCTCCTGTGAACCCTCAAGACTTTGATCGATACGTACCGAAATGCTTATTAATTGTGTTAAGCAGGGACTTGCTGCACTGTAATCTCAATGGAACGAAACCAGCATCGAAACTCTTCATGTAATGAGAGCAATCCAAGTCGTCGTGTACGATCCCCTTTCCAGTAGACCCGAAGGTTTCAATTGCGTAGAATTCATTTTCCTCCATTCTGGTTGCCTCGCCACCTCGAACTATCGGTACAGTTTTCCCAGAATGGATACGATACGGAGCAATTGAATGTCCATTCAGATTTCTAATGGACTTTATCTGTTGATTACATTCAGATCAATAACATCAATTTCATTTACAATGATAAGAAGCAGATTATGGAAGGAAGGATATAATGATCGTACCGGATAAGTTTTCCCACCCAATTCGATCTCGTACGACTCCATGACCTCTTGAATCGCAGCACCGACATCGCAAAGTTGAACGTCAATCCCGGCAGCCATGATTCCTGTATTTGTTGCGTCGCGAACAGCTTCGATGAGCTTATCATATTTCGGATTGAACGTCACGGTAAATGCACAATCAATGATCCGTCCATTAATGTGTGTACCAAAATCGATCTTGGTAACATCATCGTATTCGAGGACAGTTGGATCACCAGCGTTCGGGGTGTAGTGAGCCGCACAGTGATTTCTAGAGCAACCAGTGGGGAAAGCTAATCCAGCTTTCAGACCATCCTCTCCTATCAACTTTCTAGCTGTGTTTTCCAGCTCATTACAGATCTCTATCATTGTCATTCCAGGCTTTATCTGCAGACAAAACAACATGTTTTTTATGTAAGTGATGATGAGATAGAATATTTAATTATACGTTTAACTTATAGTAGTTAGAACCTACCCAATTCATAATATGCTTTCTTGTCTGCCTATGAGCTTCAGCTGCTTGTCTAGCTTCGTTATAAATATCATTATTCATTCTATCAAAAGTACGTGCTTCCTCACTGGAGAAACGTTCTTTTGCCATTCTATCGTCTACCCCTGCAGCAGGAGGATGTTCCATTATCTGACCTATGGGGAAATTCCCATCAGGGAATAACTCTGACACAGGCACAGTCGGAGGATCCGTTTGCTGCTTAACTCCTCCTTTCCCACGTGGCTTACGCTTCTTCTTCTTCTTTTTAATTTCATCTCCATCCCCATCATTCTCTGCTGTCTCTGCAGTAGCTTCTATAAAAATATTGTCAATTCCAGATTGTATTCTCTACCAATTACATTACGGATTAATTTTCAAATTAAATGTACCTTCTCCAGCTGTAATATTTTCCTTTGCTTTATCATCTTCTCCTTCCGGAACATCTGCACTAGCTTCACCAGCTCCTACGCGACAACATAAGCATTACGGTATTGTGTTACAAGCTAACAATAGCCATTTATTGTAATAATGTTTGTAATCTTTTTAATTTGTCTATCATTGTCTACTGTGTAACATTCCATTCATGAATAAACAATTTAGTATGTGCATGTTTTAAAGCCTATAAATATTTCATACGTTCATTTCCGGGTAATATTATATAATTGACGGAATTTGCAATAATCTGATGAAAAAGATACAATAAACGAAGTATGCATAACAGTAGCAGTATTGTAAGGATTACGCGAAGAAAGAATATTCAGAGAAATCTTTCGAAAATAAACGGTAACAGGAAGTACGGGAGGCGCAAAGTAACTTCCACATTGTGCCGATCTCAGCGAATTTCAGATTTACTTATTCCATTGAACAGTTACCCCATCATGACTTAAAATTCCATTAATCTACCAAAGAACAAAATTTGGAAACGTGGCGTCGTAAAATATTCAACACTGATGGGATTATTTAGAAGGATGACTCTCGAAAACTAAGCCACGGCATGCGATGAACCTTACTCTCGAAACGACGAGGATACACCCATTCAGTAAACCCAATAACGTACCAGCTTTCTTCTTCTTCTTCTTCTTTTTTTTCTTCTTCGACGCCTCTAACGCACCAGTTTCGTCCTCTTCGTCGATGATTTCGTCCTTCTCCTCGTCTACCAATTTTTCGGCAGATTTGCCGACTTCATCTAAAACTGCGGCCATTTTCGAAAGGAAACCAAACAATGTTGGGTCACAAACGAGATATAGGATAGACCGAACATCTTATAAGTTCTGCTCTTAACGCCCTGTAGCATTCACGACTTAAGGAAACCCAGAGATGTCGGTTGCATCTCAGTGGTGCTAACAGCTTTATTTACTTTCTCAAAAATAAGAGGCATAATTTGCATCGTGTTCCCCAATTGTACGAAATTAGATGACATCTTTTTTAATATAAAATATTACGCTTTATGATCGGCAATATCGCCCCTATGATGCGCACTTAACGTTCTGTGGAAACGAGGGCTTAACTGTACGGTGGCGCTATAATTGAAAACCGAGACTTCCGTTGGAGATGGTGCTACAGTTAGGATTGTTTAAAAACTTTCCATTCGAATCGACAGTCGACATCTCGTAATCTAGCGATAAGAATGCTAATGGTATAGACCCACGTAAACCACGGATTTAATTCACGTAATGACTGTGCGACAAGGATGGAAGATTTTCTTCTTTTTTTAAATTTGTTACGCTTTGAGCCGTTGCCGGCCCAACAGCCGAGTTCATACAAGCTTATTTAACTAATTACATGCTATGTTTATACAGTGTACGTTTTGCAAAAGATTACGTTACATGGTTATATTACACTAAAACTAAAAGTCACTGCAGATTGCAGTTTATGTCTATCTTATTCTAACCTACTAGCAACAGTTAGTATTAGCCTTGACTAAACAACCTATACTCATTGGTTCGTTAATGTACACTTTCGCTTATGTATACATATATCGTTTTGCAAGAAAATGGAAAATTTTTCTGCGAGCGACAGTATCGCCATCTAGCGGTGGGGCATTTCCGAAGCTTTTCCCTATCCCCGCAATGTGTAAGACAAGGACAGAGCTACTGTGCGACAAGGACAGAGATAGTCTCTCTCGTGCCACCTCCTTGGAAAAAGCATCTCATCAGTCCCTGGTACGTACGCGTGAAGCATCAGGACTGAGGAGCTATTCGACGAGAATGTTGCACGCCATCTAGCGTGAAGTGTCTCAAACTGTTAGTCAATTAGTACTGTGCATCGCCCGACAGATGGCGCTTCTTCCTCGTTGGGTAAGTCGTTGCTTACACAGTACGGGATAGGGAAAATAATATTTAGATATAAATATTTGTGTATATGGATTATTTTATTAAATTTTTTTTAAACAATGCTATAATACATATTTTACAGTTCTTTATTATTCACAAAGCAGGACTTCGAAACCTTTACCATAAGCACAGATCTTTGATTCACCCCTGCAATATTATTATAATATTAGTAGTTAAAAGAAAGTAATTTATTTGAAAGAAAAGTAGATTTATTATAAGAAAAGCATATGTACTTTGGTGTAGTCCAAGCAGTCAAGCCTTTTACGTCTGCCACGGAGGTGAAAATTGTTTCCAATATGTCCACTGATAAAATGTTTTTGTTAAAATTGTAATTGTATATATTAATTTGTTGGTCCAGTCCAACACTGAATATTTTATTTTCTTTGTGGAACCGTATACCTGAGACAAACAAAAGATAGAATTAATGATTCGTTTAGGTGAGAGAATAAACTTTGTAAACGCACCTGTAATTTGTGCAAAATGCGCGTTTGAGGTATTCCATTCTGATGATAATAAAATTTGTAATTGTTTATTATCAGAAGACGTGCAGATTTTAAAATGTATAAGATTGAATAAATTATCGTCGCCACCAGTTGCTAGCAAATACTCGTTCTTCTGAATTATCTTCATGTCGTATGAATTAATTCCAGATTGATGTAAATTCAATTTTGCAAAACACATATCCGTACAGTTTTTTAATTCTCTGTCTTCAATTTGCATTTTTTCTTCCAATACTGTTGAAACCACATCCGTAAAATCAATGAAACGACCAACGCCGTCAGTTGACATTGTTAATGCAATTATTTTTCCTTCGTATGTCAAAATAATTATTTTCGTTATGCAACGGTCAACGATCTTTGCATGCACTTTTAACGATATGTGTCTTGTACTGATATTGTACAAAAATATCCTGCAAATTAAATTTAAAAAAGAACTCGTATTTACCATATTAAGAATTATTAAACGCACTATGAACAATTTACCTGACAAATCCATCCGCGCAAGCAAGAAACAGCAGTATGCGATGTAAGTTTTGTGTATCACGATATATTGCAATATCCATATACCGAGTTTCAGGTTGAATAATGTAAAACTGATTAGATTCTTGCCACTGTTTCCTTCGAATTTGATCAGATCCGTACAGCATATGAGATGCAACATCAGAACAAGAAATATCTGAGTCTGTTAATGTTTCACCAGTTTTTATACTAATCTCCCATATTTTCATTTGAGCTCTTCCACCCACCGAAAAGATAATGCTTTTATTACATAAATGACCCGTTTGAAAATTTAAAGAAACAATAGCTTTTATATTGGAGATATGACCATTAAAAATGCCTAACGTTCGAAAAGTGAAATTATTTTTTATAGATATATTTGAAATGGTCGAAACACGTAGACTACCGTCCTCTCCGCCAGATATCAAAACATTTTCTTCATCAAGTTTTAATATAGGTTCGATACAATACACTTCTTTTGTATGAAAACCATTCTAAAAATTTCATAATAAAAGAATGTCAGTATAAAATTTAGTAATCTAAATGTTATAAACCGATCATTAGTTACTTACTAATAAAACTGGTGATTTCATAGAGTGTAATGGAAATTCAAAAACATGTACTCGTTTATTACGAATATAGAGGAACATAACTGATTCATTTAATAACATGCAGTCCCACGATCTGTGCCCTCCACCACAAGGAATTCTTGCTATTGTTCTACGGTGGAACATGCTGTACATCAAAAATTCCACCTGCAAATAATCGTTAAAAGAAATAAGGTACATTGATTCAATAAGAGTATTCTTTCTTTTGAAATATTTATATACCTCTTTAAAACCTAATATAAGAATATCATTTGCAATTTTTAAGCTGCCGCTAATCCAATCCATTGGCATTTTTTCTTTGTGCAGAGAACGCAATACTTCTGTATTTTCATGCTTGTTTAGTTCATAAAATTTTAACATTCCGTCACGACCTGTTGATACCAATTTTGAACCTAAGATTAGAAAGTTTTGAATACCAATTTTTCCATGAACTTTAGTGAAAGTTTGAATAGGTTTATTGTTCGTTTCTGTTATATTTGTTCCTTTAGGTAAAATAGGGGCCTCAAGTTTGAAAATGTGCATATTTCCGCTTCTATCACCACATATTAATAATCCTTCATAAAGTGTTGCAGCTGTCAACCACCGTTCCCGACTTGATGGTAGAATACATGTTGTTTCTATAGTCATAGATCCTACATGCAAAAAATAACAAGATTAAATTCATTTTGAAACATGGTTACATTATGCATTTATATATACCTTCCATGCTGAAGACAAATATTTTTAATATTCCATTTGATCCACATGCTATTATTTTATTATTTTCCAGCCACTGAATAGAAAATATTTGAGAATCCATTAGTTTTTCTTCGAGAATCCGTACCAATTTCGTATCATTTGCACTATCAGCTACTAAAAGTATGTTATCAATCGATCGAGTAATTAATATAATTTCAGTAATATGTAATGTAATCAAATAACTGTTTTTACCTTTGTATAGTGTTACGTATCCATCTCTCGATGCAAAGCAAATATAAGATCGACATAAAGATACTTCCATAATACAGTATGTACTATACTTTTCTAGATACAATGATTCTATTGGATCACTGTGCAACTTATTCATAACAAAGAGATTCCCATCTTCATTGAAAATTGAAAAATTGCTGTTATATAAATAACGAACATACTTTGGGGAAATACATGACAAATTTTTGGGTAACATTATTACCCTTTGAATGTAACTATTAACAAGGGACCATGTATGGACTGCACCATCAGCTCCTCCAGTAAAAATATATTTATTATCATCCGATATGTCTATACTCCATATAGCAGCTCCATGATGAGCACAAATTTTGTTCAGCAATTCACCTTCTAATGACCACATGCATATAAGAGAATCCTTAAATCATAAATATTAAAATGCATTGCACAGTTGATAATATCACATGTATAGCATTACTCACTTCACCTATTGTTATTACAGTTCCATTTCTAATAATGGATCTCCATACTCTTGCCGTATGACCAAACATTGTTCGTGTTAAGTTTATTTTTACTTGTTTCCAGTCCAGATCATCTTTATCTTCATTGTCATCGCAATTTACTGTCCACAATCTGATTGTTCTATCATCGGATGTAGAACAAATGAGGTTTGTAAATGGATCATATATAACTGAAAAAATGACACCCTGAAGAAAGATTTAATTCATATCTTAAATACAAATCTGAGAAAATTTATAAAAAAAATTCATAAGAGCTAATATTCTTAAAGAATAAAGTACTAACATTATGTCCCTGTAAACGATGTAAAATTGGTACAGTTTCCATTGAACAAGAAGCATGGTTTACTTGCCATATTAATATCTCTTGAAAAACTGTTCCACTAAAAACTACCAAATCCTTGTTAGACTTTATCAACATGTGACCAGCATATCTATTTTGAATAATGTTAAGTTTATGCTATAAAGTTATTACTTAAGAATGTCTAAATAAGGATACAGAATACATTTCTCTTCACACCATGTTTCTTCATAGTGTTCATTGGAGGTATTGTATATGTATATATTGTTATGAGCTAATAAAATAGCTAAATAATCGATTCCACAATGGGCAAACCATTTTGATGCTATTATCCAATCCTTAAGACATATTTTCTTAGTGTCTTCCTTAATTCTAAAATAAATATATTGATGAAATAACAGTTGCATTACTATATTTAATATATTATACTTAATATACTTACTCTAATGTTTTTTCCTTTGTATGAACAGTGTAGGTACAAAAATAGTTAGCTCCAAATACAGCTAACTTATCATTAGGACCTCCTACAATCCCATGAATATTATATGGATAAAGACTATCTATTTTCTTTTCTAATTTGAAAGTACTAGTGTTAAAAATATGTAAGGCACAACCTATACCTGTAAATAGAAAGAAAAAATTATGTAAAAATTAAAAAGAAATTATTAATAAATTTTATAATATACATTGTACTAACCTACAAAAATGAAATTTCGACTACAGTAAATAGCTAATACATCGGTACATAAAAATTTCGAAATCATTTTGGGATGTACTAATGAAATTTAATTCATCGATCACTATAATAAACAACTATCATATTATATCACAAATAATACATATAAACAACTATTGTATCATTAGGACGTCCACATGATGATCGGATTTAAATTTTGTTACGCGCATGCACTTATGTGTAACACGACCTTTACATCAGACCACATTTAAACGTGAAAGACGTCGCAAGCCATTCGCGGGCTAACCTTCTTCGTGTTTACAAGTCAGAGAATACGCAAAAAGTCAAATTAATATAAAATTACGTAGAATTAAATAAATCTTGGTAAGTAAAGTTCGTGGAAAAGATTTAATTGAAATTTGGCGGCCACTCTAGTGACATTCCCCTCGCGAGAAGTTACCTTGTTCATACCTAATTTTACAAATGAGCACAAATGAGGTATAGGGTAGATATTGCAAACTCATGGGACTCGCTGTCAGATGTTCTGAATTACCGATCATTCCACTATGAAACTCTGAATTGTATGAACACTGAACACTAACTCTATCATGATGATTTTATATATTTAAGGAATTATAAGTTTATTTAAAATTATTAGATACTGTAATCATTCGAAAATTTAGCATGCGGAAAACAAGTACAGATAGGTACTTTGTTTTGTATGAACGGTGTATATTTTTTAAGTTGCGATGGACAGCATGATGTGAATTTAACGCAAGACACTTTCAGAACTGGTGCAATGCGTTCCTTTAACGACCCCAATTTATTAACGAGCATCGTTTTAAATTAAAAGTCGAGTGAATCGTCAAGCTAATTATTGTTTAATGAGATAAGTTATAATGTGGGTATTTGGTTATGGTTCACTTGTATGGAAAGCGGATTTTCCTTATGAAAAAACATTGGTTGGACACATCAAAGGATATAAAAGGAGATTTTATCAGAAAAGTACAGATCATAGAGGAGTACCTAGCAGAGTATGTGTAAAATTATTTTTATATTAAAATATATTAAATTTCTGATTTTTATGACTTCACTTTTCTCAAGTTTGTACGTATTCATATCATTGTACCTGATTTTTTTTCAGCCTGGTCGAGTTGTTACATTAATTGCTTCCAATAATGCTAACGATGAAGTATGGGGTATTGCATATAAAATATCATCCCAAGATGTTAATAAAGTTGTCAAGCATTTAGATTACAGAGAAAAAGGTGGTTATGAAAGGAAAAGTGTTCTTTTTTACCCGTCTTATTCAATAGAAAACATTGGAGTTCATTCATTAGCAAATAATGCTTATCAGGACAACTTAGAACGTACAACATTGATACCATTAAGTACAGATGATACATCATTTTATATTACAATTTACATAGGCGGACAGGATAATCCAAATTATGCAGGTGTAGAAGATGTATCTACAATAGCAAAACAAATACTTGTATCACATGGTCCTAGTGGAGCTAATACAGAATATTTATATAAATTAGCCTCAGCAATGCGAATAATAGCACCAAATGTATATGACGAGCATCTGTTTACTTTGGAATCAGCTGTGAAAGCATTAGAAGAAGAGCAGCTGGAAAAAATTAAGTCAGATAAAAAGTTGCCTAATGAAAACAATTGTTGAAAATTTAAATAATGTTAGACATAAGATTTTATATATAGAAAAATGTTCTGTAACACAAAACGTGCTATTTTTAATATAATTTAAATTAATTTTATGTGAAACAACGTATACTCTTAGTATAATGTTATTTTGTAAAAATGATTTTCATAAACAGAAAAAGCTATTGAAATACTAGTATTACAGCAAACATACATATTCTTCAGATATCTCGTATGACTGAACACATTAAAAATCCATTAAAAGCAAATGAATTCTTTAAATACTTCATGGACTATTAAATTTAAACGATTTTAACTGGAGAAAGTTTTTAATTCTTAATTCTAATCACATTATCTCAGCTCGTGTGATATTGACTGTAATGATAAATGTTAATAAATTATATGTAAAAATTTGTTGAAAGTACGAGGAAGAAATAAAAGAAGCACAGCTGCCACGTTAATAATCGTGTTTATATTGTCATAAAAAATATATAATATGTAAGTATCTATACTGAATTTTGAATAAAATCGAAAATATTGAAACTCGTGTATTGATATCAAGTCTATTTCCGCCGTTAAATCCTGAGGTTATCGTTACAACTTATAGTTGACGTTAAATTACAAAAAATGATATTATTCATATAATTTCTTATAATGTATGCCAATGTTATCTCAAATGAGAGAAATTTTTTTACAGTACCGATAAGTTAAAATTTTGTTGGAAAAATAAATGTTTACAGTCGCGAAGGATCTATTTTTATTACGCATGAGCGTGCGTTGACGCGTAATGATCAGCTGAACGTACGTAGTTCCGCCATTTCTTATTGTTAAAACAACTGTCAAACCCAGTAGTTCGTCTGCGGGTCTATTTCCTCTCTATACCGACAAATACGATAAAAAAGCCAAGATTGGGTGATCCATTCACGTGAAAGCGTTTCGGACGCATCCGGGTACGTTTTTCACTTGTAATTTACATATTTCACAGTACATTGTTGCTAAACACATTCGAATACCCACCTAAAACAAAATGGTGGTACGATCAGAACGGTAGAGCGAATACATTTCCAATTGTTTTACACTTGTTAAAATACCAGGACCTCGAGCAAGACGCTTATCCCAAAGACAGATCAAATTACATCAATTTTTCTTTCTTTTCATTATTCCTATTTATAATATTATCCTACGTTCGATGTTTCCCAGCATTGTTATATCAAGTTTCGCACTTGAAGATACAATTATCTTAATATTGGCATACATTTTCTTGCAAACAATGGTAACACGCAAAATGAATTGTAATTTTTCAACGGGGCTTTGTCAACAAGGTACCTGTGTATTTGATAATTTACCATTCATTGAAATCAAAACAAAGTCAACTTTGTTTCACACTTTGTTTAGTATTCAAATTCAAGGAGCTCTGTGAACCGATCTCATGGAATATATAACATTTAATTTATACAAAGTGTTTCTTCAAAATTACTTTAAGTTTTTTTATATAAATGTTTGTGGTTTTAAGAATCTGCAAGTGGAATTGTTATGATTGTTCTAACAGTTCACGTAGTAAAGGGGTGTGATGAAATCAGATTTTTTATAGAAATAGTACATACAAATTACAAAGGAATCAGACTGAAATTACACAAATGGTTGTGTTTTATGCATACAAAATGTTTGTTGTTGAGTTTCGCGTTAACGTAGGAAAATGTTTCTCGACGAAATTCGTCGGACTTCGTCGGACTTCGTTCGTTGCCGTGACCGTTAGTTCGTGTGTTGCTCACCCGTGACGATTTGCGAAGCAGATGTGATTCACAGTATCGTTCGAGCACGCGCTCGGAGAGCGTACGTTTGTTCCTCATGGGAACTGTTTTGCTCTTACGTAAACAAAGGAAGAAAGACGTGTGTGTAGTTTTTTCATAGTTCAGTGATCCCACGCGAGCGTGTTCCTTCGAGTAAATAGTACGTATCACAACTCGTCATTAGACAGAAATAGTAGTATATCTTACGAGAGCTTCCCGCCAACAATAATCAATCGGTTAATCACCTTCGAAATGTAAACGCTCTCTTATTTGTTCGCGTCAAATTCCTTTGAGATTTTTCTCCTCGACGATTTCGAATTATTGTATGAAAAATATTGATTTTATTATTTGTGACATGGTATTGAATTTTTCATAAATTCACAAAGCTGTTTACTAATAATTGCGATGAATTCACGTCTCTGTGACCGACTGAAATTCTTTAAAAATAGTAGCCCTTTAAACTCTCGCGTCGAGCACATTATTAAATTTTTCCTTTTTGTCATATAAAGATTAATTTGACGCAACAAACGTTATTTAATATTTTAATATGATTTCATCGCGTGACGAACTTTTACAAGTGTTTCAAGGTAAACAAAGCGAATCTTACTCATATCCTTGATTTTGACAGTTCGTTGCATCAGCCGTTCAATGGCTTTGTGTAGCTATATATGTGCCGTTGTCGGTGTGCGTGTTTCTGTGGAATTTAAAATTACCTTTTAATTCAATGCCATCCATCCTTTCGTGTTTTTAAATATTTTATATTTTCATCACAGATAATGTTGATGGTAATGATGTTTATATATATTATTAGCATTATTTTTGTCGTTAAAATTCATTTATATAAATCATTCCAATGTTATTAGTATTATTATTGCCTTTTTAAATCGTTTACCATTAACGTGCACGTACACCTTTGAAAAATAAATTATTCTTCAAATACATATACAATAAGACTTCAAATTTTTTAATTGTGTGTGATGACTCATTGCCAAATACTTCGATCTGATGAAACAACACGTAAATATTAAAAATACCAAAATCTTGTTCCAAGTTTAATTTAACGAGGTTATCCGTTCTTTTATATTACTCTTTCGTAATTCGAATGAATCAGTTTTCTAGTATGTTCTTCGAAACCGTCGGTTAGACCGCTTGAAGGCGCGTGGATGTAAACACGTACGCCCCAGATCATAAAAGGAAATAGAACTATGGGGAACAAATCATTTGTATTTCTTAAATATTACTTGTACGTTTAAATATTTACGCAATAATTACTATTTTGCTGTCAAGTGAAATAATTATTTCATACTTTAATTAAAAAATATGTCACCTCATATGTTAACATTAATTCATCGTATTATTATTATTATTATATATTTTTTTTATTATGTTTATTCACAATATTAAATTGAATTCATAACTTAAGTTACATATAATAATTCAGTGACAATGAAAATGTTTTGAGTAATTTTTTTACATATTGGTGTTATTTTATTTTTACAGATACAAGGCTAGCCAGCTGCGCCATTCTTGTTGTGTGACACCTACATCAGCCACACTACACATTTTTTGTACAATATTATTATTTGATTGTTGCTGTAGTTAGCTGTTGGTCACACATCGCAGGAATGGACACATCGGGCTTGCCTGTACCGGATGCAATCCACCCGCTACTTGAACAACTGCAAGAAGCTTTGGTCCTTGAAGTAAAGTATCAACCTAATCTTCAGTTACCCAATATAACACAGGTAAGTTTAAAAGTTGTACAAATAGGTATATTTATATACAGTGTTCGCATAAATGATTATTCTTTTCTTTCAGAATGATGAAATAACAATCGGAGCTCGTGACGGATCAGCTCATGTTCTGAGATGTTTGAAAGTATGGTATGATCTACCATCAGATGTGTTTTTTATTGCCATCAACCTCATGGACCGCTTCTTAACAAAGATGAAAGCAAGGCCAAAACATATGGCTTGCATCAGTGTATCTGCTTTTCACATAGCTGCTGTTCAATTAGCACAGTCCTTAGATGCTGATCACTTAGTCTCTATTTCCCAATGCAAATGCACGGGTGGTGATCTTAAGCGTATGTCAGAAGTAATACGGAACAAACTAGAATGGGCACCTGGTACACAACCCATTACTTCCTTGACTTTTCTTCGATTATTCAATGCCATGTTTCATGCAGTTGCATTACAATTTGGTTTAGGAGATATGTACAACAGTATCGTTACAGTAAGATATATGTTTTAGTATATTTTATTTATTATATATCGTATTAAAGTAAAACAGTAACAATGTAAATTTACTGTGTACATTATTTCAGGAATCTGAGCTTCTTCTCAGGTTAGAGATGGTTGCTTGTGACGGTAATTGTGCAAGTGTAAGGCCATCGGAAGTGGCACTTGTTTTACTTTGCACATATTTAGATAATGCAGTTAATTGGTTGGATACTAATGCAGATGCTTCTAAGTCCACAATCACTGTACCTAGTTCCTCTACTATCAATACGACTGCAACACCACGATGTCAACTGCTTAGACTCTTAGAATTTGCTGTAGAACTTCAGAAAATATGTAAGGTAATGTTGAAATATTGATAATAATAAGTAATTCAGTTTTTTTAAAATACTTTTGTGCATGCTATATGTTATATTTGTTTATAGATTTCAGACACAAGTTTTTTCTCTACACACGAGGCTGTAGGTGCTATATTGAGCAAATACAATGCTCAAGAGCAAACTCCTCACAAACAAAGACTGATATGGAGATTGTCCTCTCGTACGGCGCGCCTTTTACGTCCAACTGATAAATTCACTTCTGTATTACCTGTTATCGCCGAACACGCTCCAGTTCCTTCACCAAGTAAAATTAGGTATAGTTTTACAATAATATATTACATATTATTTTATGAACATTCTGCTATCATTAAAGCTATCTAAAAGATAGATTTTCGTATTTCTTTAGCACTATCACAAACGAGCATTCCTTTCATGTTTATAGAAAAAACCGTAAGTTCGGTCGACGCCATGGGAACAAGAGACGTTAAGTGGCAGTATCGAGGCCTTAAAGTGAGTCTACAGTTGCCATTAGAAGTATAACTAAAAAACTAAAAGGAACGTAGTAAAAACTTTATTGTGTTATATTCTAGGTGCTGGATTAGAAGTTCAGTGTTTATCCGTCAACCGAGCAATAAAGGAAGTGTAACTTAAATTTGAAATTAGAAATTAAAATAGAAAGTACAAATACTGATGTATTTACGTCGTACGACGAATTGTCAAATATCTCTTTTGTATCATATATCGATAACTTGAATGAAATGTGTTAAGTACACAATTCATTGCAGTATTCTAAATTCGAAGATCGAATCGATTTTGGATATATTAGTTGCATCAAATGTGAAATTTCATCTTTTTCTTTTTTTGTTTTTTTTTAATTGTATCGTGTATGTCTTATAAAGACCGACGAAAATTTCATTTGAAACTGGATGTTTCGTAGCTATATAAAGCATATGAGTGATGTGCAAAAGAATTGAATGAAAATTAAAACAGGAAATTGTATTTTACTAACGTTAAAGTTAATGTGATACAATGTCCATCGTAATTCGTATCAAACGAATAGAATATCGCTATATTACACGTTTACGCGTGTGTCCTACAAATATGTTTGAAGAGCGAGAAAAACGATCATACGCGAGTATAAATGAAAAATTAAAAAAATAACTAGAGAATAAATTATGGAACATGATAACACTAATTAGGATCATCAGAATGGTGAATGAATCTTGATTCTTTAAATTTACCAAAACTAAAGTAACTTGTATGTTCTGTCGTGAGACTGTATTTAAATTATGTATTGTTTAGGGAAAAACTATAAATGAATGTAAATAGAGTAGTCTCGTATCGGATGTTTCTACAATATGTCAATCGAGTAAAAGATGCAACAGCGCATTTATCTCAACTCATTTAAACTGTTTAATCTTTTGTGACTCCGATTGTGTTTCGGTATGCTTTTCATTAACTTTTCTTCGATTAACTTCTCCAATATTTGTTAAATATTGGCATACAAGTTTTAGTTTTATAATAAGTAGATATGTATAGATGTGTAAAATATATACAATTGAAAGAACAGTGGTTACTTTCATATAAGTAACACAAAATAAATTAAAATCGATTTAAATTTAATTAGTATTTATAAACAAAAAATGATGAAAGAAATATGAAAAATAAATTACATA